AAACGGCCGTGGCAGGGGGGGGGGGAGGAGGCGAGGCTTAGGAAATGATTATGGAAATTTTGTATTTGCCATTAGGGCTATGATGGCGTGCGAAATCCAATCTCCAATGGCTTCGGGACATTGACTAATCTTCAATGTATCGAGACGCCCCTCCCCCTTTCTGCCTCCTACTTTCGACCCCCCGCCGCGCCCCTCCCGACACCCCCCAAGTCTCCTAAAATAATTGACCTTCCCCATGGGAGGGTACGGAGCAGGGCGGAGGGAGAGGCCGTCGGGGCCGGGTGTTTGAGGAAGGGGAAATTAAAGGTTAGAGGATGGGCCGGGGTGGCTTAGAGGGCCCCGAGGCGGCCCCCCCGGCGGGGACGCACCCCGCTCGGGTGACGAGCTTCTCAGTTTGCGTTAATTTAGTACACCCCGCAGAGTCTCTGCAACGCGCCTAAAAGATTCACTGCAGTCGAGTCCGCCCGTCTGCCGCCTGCCCGGCCAGCCCGGCCGCCGCCCGCCGCAAGGGCGCGAGGCTCCTCTTCTTTCTCATCCTCGGGCTCCCTTGTTGGGCGGCGCCCGGCCGCGGGCCCAGCCCGGGCCCGGCGGGTGTCGAAGTTTCAGGCCCTCCCGAGAGCATGAAAATTCCAAAGCGCGGGCCGTCTGCTGCGGCTGCTGCGCTTCCCTCGGCTGCGCCGTGTATCGGAAGTAAACAAGTTTTCCTGAAAGTTTGTTGCGAGGAGGTGAGTACTCACTGCCTTAGACTGTGGGGAGGGGCGGTTAAAAACACACACACAGGCTCGCCGAACAGATTAAGTCGTCAATATTTTATTGAATTTATAAAAATGGCAATAACACCCCGTATGTACAAGTTTGAGACCTTTTGTTTTGCTTACACACTAGCATTCATTTACCGAACTTTTGTACAGATATGGTCTAATAGTCTACACAACGTACAGAGTAGGTACAAGAATGAGGAAGATCACAGAGCATCAAACAACAACAACGCTGCTCACTGGGGATTCGCATTCCCCCAGAGCAGAACATTCCGAACACGGTCTCCACCGTGATTCCGAAAAAGAAAACACACATCCATTCACACCTTTTGTGTGTCTGTTTCTTTGTTGATCTATTTTTTTTTTTTTTCATTCATGTCTTTATTTTATTTTTATTTTGTCTTTTCGTAATGAAAAACAACGCCGCCGCGCCGCGGCACCGCGTTGTTGGTCCACTTCATTTCGAGGAGTCAGGCGGGGCTGAAGGGCTGGCTCATTCCGGAGGCTGCCCCGTGAAGCGGAGCGCACGCTGCCCCGCCGCTCCCCGCCCCGCCACTTCCTCCGCAGCCATTGATTTGAATATCAGAACACCTCGCGCCACCATTAGTCTGACCAGGTCCGACCGTGTCCGGGGCAACAAAAGAAATCTCTGCGGGGTCGGCTAGCTCTATTCAGGGGGGCGGCGCGGGGCCTCGGCTCGGCTTCATGAAAAATTCAGCGGCCGGCCGTGGTCGATGGGCGAACGTGCCATAGAAAAAGGGGCAGAGGCCGAGGGGAGGCCGTGCGCCGTGCCTCATTAATACATTTCTGATGGGTAGGAAGAGGAGAAAGTACTCCGGGGCGAGCGGGTTACAAGCACCCAAAGGGCCTCGGCCAGGGCCCCGGCCAGGGCGTCGCTAGGACCAATTAAAAACGTCAAGGCGAAATGGGAGTCCCCTCCTTCCTGGCCTCTCCCTAGCTCGCCTCGCCGACAATGCCGGCCCGGGGCGGAGGCGTGGGCGCCGCCGGGGGGGCCGCTGATCGTAGCACGATCGGGCGCGAGTTTCAAAGAGACTACTTCTCCTTTTTATCAACAGCGAGTTTCGCATCATCGTCATCACAGAAGCAGCAAGGGAAAAAAACAACAAAAACAAAAGAAATGTAAAGTGGTAATTACAAGAAATAGGAAGCACAGCGTTCGCGAGGTTTAGCTTTGAGGTTGGCGGCCGCATTTGTCGAAAGACAGAGAGACACAGAGAGAGAGAGAGAGAGAGAGAGAGAGAGAGAGAGAGAGAGAGAGGGGGGGGGCGGAGGTTGTTGCCCAGCCCGCGGCTGCCGTTATGGCGCGCGGGTTGGGCAGCGTGCGTTGGGAAGACTCGGCTGCCTCTTGTACTGTCTCGCACTCAGACGCCTGTGGGGTAGGCAACCCCTCGGCTCGAGTGCGCTGTATTGCCTACCCAGCGCTCCTCAGGCGCCCTCGCGTCACCGCGAGCCGACCCCAACGACTCGTGCTCTACCTACGGCTTCCATCACGTGAAGCTAATGAGGTCCTGCTCGATGGAGCGGCCGCACTCGCTCGGCGCGCTCCGCTCGTCCGAGAGGCTGATGTACGTGATGCCGCGGAAGAGCGTCTGCAGCGGCGGGCTCTCGGCCGACGGCGACCCTGGCTGCGAGAGCATCTCCCTCCCGGAGAAGGCCGAGTCCGACTTGCGGAGGGCGGCCAGGTGCGCGGCCTCCTTGAGGCGCAGGCGCTGCCGCCAGCAGCGCAGGCCGCACACGCCGAGGCACGCCGCCGTGGAGGCGCCGCCCACCACCGAGACCACGATGATGCTCAGGTAGTTGCGCTCGATGCCGAGCGACACGAGGAAGGCGCCCTCGCGCGTCGTCACCTCCGTGGAGCCGATGACGAGCGAGTACGCCTCCCGCTGGATGGCGAGCGTGAAGGCGTAGCGGCAGCGCGGCTTGAGCCCGTGCACCGTGTACGAGTGCATCTTGAGGCCGACGGTGAAGGTGACGGAGCGCCCGGCCTCGGACGCGTTGCCGGCGTCGACCTCCTGGACGCGGAGCGTGTAGCTGTTGGTGACGGCGCTGCTCATGTTCCACGCGAGCGTGACGAACGTGGACGTGACGGTGAGGGGCAGCAGGCGCACGTGCACGTCGCGCACGTGCAGGCGCACGGCGCGGGTGTCGTGGCCCGCTCCACGCGCCTCGCACGTGTACGTGCCCGCGTCCTCGGCGTGCAGGTAGAGCACGGTGAGCACGTGGTCGCGCACGCACACGCGGCCCGCGCCGTCGGCGCACTGCCCCTCCGCCAGCTCCACGCCCGCCTGCGTCTGCCACGTGACGGTGGCGGCCACGTCCGGGCTGCCGGCCGGCACCTCGCCGAACAGCGCCCGGCAGTGGAAGGACGCGTTGTTGCCCAGCGTCTCGGAGAACGTCTCCGGGAACAGCGGGATGATGTAGGGCGCGCAGGGCGGGTTGGCGGCCGCGGGCGGGCCCCTGCACAGCACGGGCCCACCCGTCAGGTTGCGCAGCCAGCCCAGGCTGCAGTGGCAGTGCAGCGTCCCTGCGGGAAGGAAACACACATTCAATGCTATACCTTGTTTCCGAAATTCTTTTTCATTTGAATTCAAACAATTCAATTTTTTTAATCATTGAGTTGGTGTTTTAAACGGCACACGTGACTCCAACCTTATATTTTGCACACAACGCTCCAAGAGAAGAAGTCATAGTAAGGCTGCATGTTTACAGCCATCATTGGAAATTACCAAACATATGACAACATATAACAAATTGGATGAAAGTTTAAGAAAATCTCTAAATTTGCAAATGTTTTGTTTTGATCTCTTAGTATTGATAATAAAGACTCTTTTGATGTTCTATGTGACCAAATTTTAATGAAGAACTGGAGGCCGGGTGAAATCTGTCACTGAAATTAATAGTTTACGTAACTTCATATTTTTCTCCGCTCATGAGCCAAATGTCCCCAGACTTTAACAAGACATAGGATTATGTTAAATTATCTACTCAAAACTTCTGAGCTTTTTTTGTCAAGTCCTGCAGTCTTGGGAAATGCAAAAACAAAAAGAAAATATTCTTACAATGTACCAACAAGAAAAATGGACTGTGTACCGTATAAATTGTTCAGTAACACTAAAATACTTCTACATAAAATATTTATGCAGGTGCACGTGCAAAGTCTCAGATTAAAACGCGGTCACATGACTTTCTAAAAAAAAAAAAAAAAAATCTCGCCCCCCCCCCTCCAACCTGTTGTGAAGGCCTACCGTTGTCCAGCCGCAGGGTGCGCAGTGCGGGCGCCGCGTCCAGAAGCTCGCGCTCCAGGGCGAGCAGCGGCGTGTCCGAGAGGTCGAGGGTGTGGAGCTGCGGCACGCCGCCGAGGCCCTGCGGGTGCACGTAGGCCAGGTCCGGGTTGGCCGAGAGCCGCAGCTCACGCAGCTCGGGCAGACCTTGGAAGGCGCCGCGGTGCACGGTGGCGAGCGTGCGCAGGCGCTGCAGGTGCAGCGTGTGGACGGCGAGCCCCGCCACCGCGCCCGCCGGCAGCGCCTCCCCCAGCGGGTTGTCGCTGAGCACCAGGTCGCGCACGGCGCCGAGCCGCCGCAGCGCCGCGTTGGGCACGCGCCGCAGCGCGTTGCGCGACAGGTCCAGGACCCGGCTCACGTTGACGGCGTCGAACGCCGCCTCCTCGACGCGGATGATGTGGTTGCCGGACAGGTCGAGCACGTCGAGAGGGGCGAGCACGAGCGGCGGCACGCGCGACAGGGCGTTGTCGGACAGGTAGAGCTCCCGCAGCGCGGGCGCGTCCGAGAAGAAGTGCGGCTTGAGCACGGCCAGCCTGTTGCGGCGCAGGTCGAGGACGCGGAGCCGCGGCAGCGCGAGCGCCTGGGGCGCGATGGAGTGCAGCCCGTTGAGCGACAGGTTGAGCACCCGCAGCGAGGACAGGTCGCGGAAGGCAAACGCGCCGAGGATGTGGAGGCTGTTGGCTGACAGGTCCACGACGCGCAGCTCCGGGTTGGCCTTGCCGGAGCCCGAGATCTCGGCCACAGCGTTGCCCTGCATGTCGAGCACCCGGAGCCCTGGCAGGCGGCGCAGCGGCCACAGGTCGAGGCGGCGCACCGTCCAGTTGGACACGCGGAGCACCTCCACGTAGGGGTCGTCCTCAGCGAGGCCGGACGGCACGCTGTAGCACGCCATGAAGGGCCTCGGCCCGGACACGGCGCCAAGGTCGGCGGCGTCGGATACCGGCGTCGGCAGGTGGAGAGGCTCCTGGCCGCACAGGCAGGCTTCGGGACACACATGGCCCCAGGGCGCCGACGGCGTGGAGGGCGGTGTCTGCCGGGTGGGCGGGAGCGCTGAACCCGACAAGAGCGTCGAGATCAGCGGAGACGCCGAGGTCGGCCTGGACGGCGCCGGCGAGGTCAGCGACGGGGCAACGGTCGAGGTGGACCCCCACCCCACCAGCACCACGACGAACAGGAGCAGTAGAGCCGCCGGTGGCCTCGCCATGGTGTCACATGACACGGTCACGCTGCCCGCCGCCCCGCCGCCCCAGCGGATCAGTCCGTGGTAACGGTACACCGTAACGCTCCTCAATCCATTGGGTCGGCACCGGCCGGCGGGGGCCGAGGAAGGTGTCGTTGTTCACACACAGTTCCAACGGTCACGTTGCTCTCACATTTCAAGACACGAACACCTCACAAGCACACGGTAATTTAACGTAACTCCAAACTGATCAGCTGTTCCGCAGTCGCACTCTAAATTCTCTTTTTTTTAATTTCCTGGCGTTGGCAGGCTCTTGGCTCGATTCCTGCGATAGGGGCGGACGGATAGACACCCCCGATAGTGCGGAGTGCTGAGTGCGGGAGGGGCGAAAAAACTTGCGGCCGTGTGCCGGAAATTGCGTCCGATACCCCGCGTCTGCAGCAGTACGCCCGGGGGCGTCCACTTATCTCTGTCACTTAGGCCCCGGCCGCGGCCCCGCGCCGAGCCGCAGCGCGCGCGAGCTCCGGGCCGCGCACTTGTTGCCGGCGGGGGGCGCCTCTCGACATGCGCGCGCGGGGGGTCGACCCTCTCGGTGCGGCGGCAGGCGGCTCACTGACTGCCGGCCGCGCTCT